CAACGTCGTTTTAAAGCTGATTTAGCTGCACAAGAAAATAATTTAGAGATGGATATTAAAGATTTAAATGATTCTCGTGTTGTTCAGTAAGATAATTTTATAGTTGACTTTATTTTATTTTTTGTTTCTAATTTCAAAATAAATTAATAGTAGGCAATCAAATGCTCAAGTAGCAGCTGCAAATACGGACAATGAAACTGATAATGTAAATCGTATAACATATGATGAATTTTCTGTATTAGTACGACGTATTGATCGTATGGAATCGTCAATTGGAAGTATTGTTTCAAAAGTACTAACATTTTTTTTTTCATATATGAAAAATTTACAAAAAAAAATGAGTTTTATTTAAAATTTAGATTGAAAATGTTTTAACAAAATTAGAATTATTAGAAAAAGGCAAAATGAAACGACGTGAAGCATTAACAAGAATTCTTAATAATGTTTCAGAAGTAAGTTTAAAACAAAAAAATACTATGAAAAATAAAAAAAAAAATGTTGGTCTTTGTTTTTCTTTTAGGATGATAAACTGAGTAAAGAAATGAAACATGAACGCTTAGAAAAAATGATTCGTGATGAACTTGAAGAAACTAATCCTGCTCGTCAAACATCAAATCAAAATGTAACACAAAGAACAAAAACATCAAGTACACATGGAAGTGGAGATTCACAATAAATTCATAGATCATCAGATCACCTTAATCAAACAAAATCTGTCGAATCACAATATTAAATAAAAAAAAAACAACATTTGGTGAATTTTATATCTATAACGTTTAACGCATATATATTTTAATCATACAATAACCAGCTTTTTGTATTGTATTTCTGCAATGTTTTCTTTCTCAATAAATATAATATTTACTATCGTGAATATATAATTCGAATAGTTAATATTGTCGAAAACTAACTAATCAAAGTATGAAATATATAATTACTCTTATATTAAAACTATCAAGAAGTAAGATACATAGTAATGACCAAGGATGAAGAAATCGAAATTCGTAAGTTGTAGAAGAACTCTTACCGGAGCTATGATAATGTCTCAGGTAAACGAGAATTAACCATTGGTTGTCTCACAGTTCCGCCATTCATTAAGTTCTTTGATGGTTATATAAATGTGAGAGTAGAAAATATGGTGAATATTATGTTTTGTTTTATTATAACAATCATGAAACTATGATGGAACTGAGAATACGTAAATTCCTATTTTTCAGTCCTTGGACATCCCTCGACAGTGCTCAGTATTCAGATGATTGTTCATGCATTTCTTGACCTATATGAGCAACCATGGATGTAACATAAGGTTCGATCAATTTCGGGCTCGAATATTTCTAAACATTGCTGATCTTCTTTTAAGATGTCTTTAGCCTTTCAGTTTTTGGATTATTTATTTCATTTTATGTAGATCTACTATAGCCAATAAGGATCTGCGGGTTCTTCCAGACCCGGACCCAACCGAATCCAAAATTTTCTTTTTTTTTTTGGTCCGGCTCCAAACTTTTCTTTTTTGCTGGGCTTGGCTACACGTTTTTGTAGACCTGCTGCTCTCCAAATGAGAAATACAGCAACAAGATATAGCAGTACATCGAGTTCTTTTTTTTGAGAGTAGCGAATAAGTAGCTGAAACCTTGATCCTTCACTTGTTCATGTATACGAAGGGTGCGAGGTATTGATGGAAACAACTTCAGGTTTGGGTTCAACCGAGTCCGGGTCCACAAAAACGTGGACCCACAACTCTCTATTAGCCAATCGTTAAATCCATTCTATTGGATTACTTATACTTTCTTTTATTAATTAACTGAAAACATCTGCTGTGAAAGTTAAATCCGAACCTTTGGATTTGTGTTCGGTACATGACTATTATACGACTTTAGTTTCTATTCATGTACGTATGACGTTTACCACATGATTAAATAACTTCCATGATATATTGTTATGCATACAAGCGGTAAAAATAGCAAAGGAAAAAAGAATAAACACATTCCGACATTTTAATTTTATATCATATTCTTTTTATTTTACAATATTGTTAAAAGAATTTGCAAAAGGGCTTTTTCATCATTTTTTTTTATTTTAAAATTCTAATAAAATATTCTTTCGTTATAAATTCAAAGCTATAAAAATCATACATTTTTTATTGGTATAGGATAATGTAATGTGAGACAAAAAGCAAAGAAAACCGATGAATTTTATATAGTCGCTTTTTCTAATTGATCATTGATCGTAACTGATTAGTTCTTTTTTTCTTGACTATATATGTACACTTTGAAATAAGCATGATAACTCATTCTCAAGTATAAACTAGCGATTTGTAGAATATACAGAAAGAGAGAGAATAAATGAAATCAGATTTATTTGCTTTATTAAAGATATTAACAGAATTTTAACAGGTGTTTTTTCGTTCTTTCGTTGTCAACGAAATTATTTGTTAATCTTTTCTTTTATTTTGATAGCACAAAAAGCGGATTGGAATGAGCAAAGAAAAAAAAACCGAACGGTAGCAATAAACAGAAAAATCTAATCTAAGATACAAAAAAAAAACAAGTATTTGTTTTTTCACTTTTATGATTATTTATTTCATTCATTACGTTGACACATGTCAATGATACGAAAACGAAGAACCGAATGATTGCTGCTTCACTAATCGAACATAGAAGCACACTATCAACTTACTATTGAGCTATGAAACGTAACTTCCTTTCTAGCAGTGATATAACGTACATTATCAATTTTTTCTCATTCTAGCAACGATGAACCGCAAGATATTTACGCAACAATTCCATGCATTCATGATAGTCAGTATAATTACACGGCCTTTGTCCAACTCATTCGTCTCCGACTTGAGACAATTGTTTGGGCAGCGGATTACACGAACATTTTTGCTCGTTTCACTCGTTTCTGGGATAAGGATAAGTCTGGTGCTATGGATGCTCGTGAATCGTGTGTTGCCATACTTCTCTTTCTGCGTCTTCTGCGAGGTGCAGACGTCCCGAAAATAGACGATACGGCCATCAATGTCAGCACAGAATGGGACGATCATGAGCCAACACGCTACACCCACTTCCTTCTACCCGTTTCTGACAACGCAGTCCAGATCGACTTTAGTGCATATCGTGTCATGCTCGTCGATGCGCTCGTTCATTATATCCGGGTAATAATGATCTATAACCATACTATTTCTGAAGTATGTTTTGTAACATCTAATGACACGTTGTTATGAAGCATAGTAAAGAAACCATAACTCTCAAATTTCTAGATTCATTCCTCTGTTGTCCGAATAGAAAAACTTGCTGGCCTAACTGAAGCTGATAAGACTGTATTTCTATACTAATTTCTCAAATCTTTTTGAGATATAATGAATGTCAAGCGCTCTTCTAGAAATCTACAACGTCGATGTTATAAAAAGAATTCACTTTCAGTTCAAGTTAAAAAATACCATGAAAAATATTTTTAAGTTTCTTAAAGATTTACTCTAATTTGAGAAACTCTAAATAGCAAGAGAGAGTAACAGAGATTTCGGACTTGAACCACATCTTTTTTCTCATGAACGTGAATAAATATTTGCCATCGATGTGTTTAGATAACCGCGCTGAAATTCGTTCGACAAAGCGACAGCATGGATAAGACACTGCCCATGGCAAACATTTGGACTGAACGTGTTGATCCCTTTCTGACAATGGTCAAAGAGACTATTACCAAAAAACTCATGATTCCGAACCGGGACACGCGCGAAGCCACGATATTACTACACGTGGTCGCTTTCACGAGAAATTATCTGATACAGATGCTCATTCTGCCTGTGGCTGCATATAAAATGGCCTATGTATATGCGATAAAGAAGTGGAATCGACAACAAACAATTGCAATTGGAGTACTCATTTCACTTCTGGTCACATTATGGACGTTGCTTACCATAATGAATATCGTCCTCTTTCATGTTAATCGGCGCATTAGTAACGGTACGGAAATAGCTGGTAGGGTCACCGCATTTGAGCCATATTTTCCTTTTGGCACTACTTATCTACATGTTTCTACTCGTTTACATCACTAAAATGTTTTCGATACTCACACAAGTACGTAAAAAGTTACTTTCCGTAGAACATACACATCGTCAAGCTATCTATGACCTTGTACGTTATCGAACTCATCCCGCTCTCATCGACCCGCTATCGGTCGAAAAATCTGCCGACACTCTCGTTAATAACTGCAATCCAAACTTAAAACAATTGCGTGTTTCGGCATCGAACACGGTGCAGCTTCGTCGATGGTATCCAATTGTCGGGGGTATCATTTTTCTCTTGGCCATTATTCACGCATACACGCCTATTGTTGCGCGTGCAATCTTAGAAAAGGTCTACTTCGACAATTGGTATATCATAGTTATCATCGTCTCCTATTGGACGACTGGTTTCTTTGCTTTCATACTATTTACCGTTATGATCTTCAGAGCATTTGAGTGTTTTTGGAATTTGAACAACAAATGTCATCAAAATCTGTTAGGCGCCTACATCGACGAACGTTACATTGAACAGAGTGAAACAAATGTAGAATTTTTGAATATTAAAGAACCTCGTAATCTTGATTATTTTCTTGCCAAAGTTAAACGAACTGTGAGTCGTGGTCAGACTACTCGCGTTCGTATTCACCTATTCACGGTAACTTTTGCATTTACCATTGGTATGATCCTGGCAATTACATCTATCATTCAGTTGTTAAACACCACAAATGGACAAAACTTTAGTCTTAATTCAGAATCTATTATCATGCTTGTTGATTTGATTATTATGGCATTATTAGTCGGTGTCGTTCTTCTTGTTGTCGCTGGTATTAATCATGCATCAACAATTGAAGTCACTCAGCTACTACGGCGTGTACAGCTCGAAGCAGTTCGTGACGAGGCGTTGCACATTGAAGATAAGGAAGGGGACAACGGAGACTATAGACGAACATTAGCCGAGACTCAGAACACACTTCGCTATCTGGAGAGTGTTATTCAATATACGGCAGTCACTTTTGATGAGCATACACTTAAAATTTTTGGTGTACTTATTATTGACCGACAATTGATCATGAAAGCAGTGATAGCATTAATTGTCACCGCTTTGTCGAATTTAGCTAGATTGGTATTTCAAAAGCTGAGCTCTGACGGCAATAAATGTTATACATCTCCAAGCAACAATTCATCGGAGAAAATCACGTCAATTTTTGAGATTGTCAATAATTATTCTCTATAGAAATCACAACCATAGTCCCATGTACTTACAATTGATTGACACTGATACGTATAATGATTTCACTCGTCCCTCTGTCACTATTGACATTTTTCATATTTGATAGAAAGTGATCATTATATGAATGCTGAGCGACTAGTGTACGCCAATGAGATTTTAAGAATAAAGCTAATTATATAAATTGTGCACATATTAACGATTATTGATATCGTACTTCAGTTTCCATGAGCTCTTTGAAAATATTAGTTGTATCTTGTAAACGAATACTGAATTCGATTTATCACGACGCTTTCTATCTGAATAAAGGTCTCATTTAATAGCTTTATTTCTCTTTTGTATCTCATTAGATCTGAAAACGAATGCGCCTGTGAAAACTGATGACATTTACTCAACACAGTGGAGTTGTAAATATCCATTATGTGAAGTAAATGAATGAGATATATTTTACAACTTCAGCATGAGAAGAAATTCTCGCCAGTTTGTCTTGATAAAAGCAATAAACGATGATGATTCTATTGAATAATAGTGCTACATACGAGATATGTGAAAACAAGAAAAAGTGGTAAATTATGTTGCCATACCTTTATTATAAGATTTAGAATGATGGTTGAGAATGAGTAAAAGCTGTCGCAACATCTTTCTGTCCTATTAGAGACGTCATAAGATGGCATGATACTTGGTTTTCTATAAAAAATTTAAAGAATTTCTTTGGACTTGAATAGATTAGACTAATCTAACCTGAACAAGACTCATTGCTCATTTAATACTTATTTCAATACTGGATGAAAGAAGACCCTCTCTATGATTATCATAATGATGATAAATATTCGAACTTCGGTAGAAAGACAGAACTAACATTATCTAGATTTAGATCTACTCTAAAGAACTCTATAGATACTATTTGGAAATCGTTGTCAAGAATGACGAAAAAACACTCAACTCAACTCTTTTCAGTGTTTTTTTCCTGGGAATTCTCTTATTTGAGTCAAATTTGTATTTTTCTCGAAATTACTGTCGTCTGCTCTTGCTGTCCAGGAAGTCAAAAAAACTAACTAATTCCATTTAAATGATTATTGTTAGCCATTTCAACAAAAAAAAATTTATGAATTCGATGAATTTAAAAAGACCAAATTTATTGTATGATTTCGATTATTCTGACATGAATGTTACTGTATGATGTTAATAAAAAAAAAATAACCATATTTTTCATTTCATCCTGAGTTACTTTGAAATTCTTTTCTATTTCTTAATGTAGCTTTCATGCAAAGTTTGTCAAATTGTTTTTATTATTGATTGACAGATCTTGACGAGCTATACCGAATAGTCAACGAAAAATAAATATTGCTGGAACATGCATCATATGGTTCTGGATATTGGTGATAATTTGTGAGTAATAGTAACATAGGATGATAAATAATAAAGAAAACGACTTTTACAGTACTTCCAGGTATTTGCCTACGCTTTCGTTGTGTTACATTTGTGTTCAACCGTCGGTCAGCTATTCTTGTAGCTGCCTTTCTTAAGTATAATACGTTCATTGCAATTGTGACTATGGATCTAAATGCACCTACAGTGTAATTGAAATCTTCACTTTATCACAATGATGTGTACTCTAGCCATCAGAAATTGACGAGATAATGTATATTTGAATCAACATTCGAGTAGTTTTTATCTAGCAAAAAATTGGACATATTGAAGATCTTTATTTAGGAGAAAAATCAAAAGTTCAGAACCACAATTCCATGATACTCTCTAAAGAGGATGGGTGTCGGTGTGTATGTGAGTGAAAATGCGTAAGAGTAAGGAGCAAAACCCACACTCACACCCTGTTGAAAAAAAAAATTAGTTTGAATAATGTCAAAATTTTTCATGAAGAACAAAATAATAATTTAAATAATGTTGATGTTTTTTGATGACGAAGTAAAAATTAATTCGAATAATATTAATATTTCTCATAAAAACAACTTAGTCATCTAAACAGAATTCGTAATAGAATTGTTTCTGTTTTATTACAGTATAAATAATGATAAATGTATTTACAAGACAGAATTCTTAAATTATGCTTACAAGAATTTTACCACTCCTCACCATCGGACAGAGCTCATACAGTTCTATATGGCACGATAGTTTATTAAAATTGTATTGGGTCTAGGTACTAATTGTCATAGAGAATGAAAATTTCGGGTGTAGTTTTCCATGGACAAGCATTGAAAGTTGTTTTTTTTTCTGTGTTTTAAATATTTTTGCTTTGTTCATATATGAGTGAATCGAGCTCGTCGAGTTCCATCTGCCAGTATCATTTTTATTGGTTGACATAAATCATGAAATAACTTATCATGCCAAAAACTCGAATCGGTTGCTAATTTTTTCTAGATGATATGCAGCCTATATTGTATTAGTGTTTCAAAGATAGGAATATAATCAATATCAAATAAACGAAAACAGATGCAGAGTTTCTTAATGATTAGCATACATCAGCACAATAAGGTTGATAAATCGTTAGATCGAATACTTTGCAAGAACCAGTTACACGATATAATGTAATCTGAAGAGCTAAATCAATTATCTATTTTTAATCAAAAAGCCTAGCTTAAGATTTTGTTGTCCGATTCGAAATTGAAAAATACGGGATGATAATAGTTTGCTTTCAAGTAAATAATAATTTATTAGTCATGAATAATCATATTTCTGTTGGTTTAATGTAGGTGAATAATTACAACTCAACTGATGAATGTATACATCAATATTTATCTAAATACATAGGCGGTTTTGAGTATTTATACCAACTTAAACGACACTATTTCATTTAAGAATAGCAAATATATTATCGTTGATAGTACTAATAATAATGAACAAGATTCTTCTTATAGTAAGTAAGATTTTTATATGAAAAAGAAACGAAAAATATAATTTGAATGCTATTTTCATAGTTGTACTTCGTGTTTCACGTGACAAAATTCTTAAATTCTTCAGATGTAGGATCAATGGACGATTCAATCACTAAATTGTGCAGTACTCTTGCAGCCAAACCGGATTCAGCTGTTAATCTTATTGATCGATTTCAAAAGTCAATTAACGAACATCAACAACAAATGCAGCAACGTTTTCCAAACACATATACGTATATTACTAAACAGGAAAACAAGGACAAACTAAAAGCAGGAAGTGAAAGTTGCAAAAATTTCTTTGATGGCTTAAAAGTTTCACTATCAACCGATTTACAAAATAATAAGGAATCATCTGAATTCATACAACATATGATGAGTCATCGCATCAATGAGTTCATCAACAAGATTCAATAGCAGATTAACTGAAAAAGAACATCAAATTTATTATAAAAGAAAATAACATTGCTTTGTCTAATGAATATTTGTGCTTTTCTTCTACTGATTTTTTATGTTTCTTTCAAAGAATATTAGATCTGTAAAATTTCTTATAGAGGAACATATTTGATTGCCTCATTGCAAAATATAAAGAAAGACCAATCAACATATTCAGTTCGTCATGCGCTAGTTTAAAATCTACAATCCATAGCTGACTTTATCTAGCATAGATCTCAATCAGACTGATTTCTGACAGTTTATTCTCGATTATTGGTCGATTTTTCAACATGTTCGAAATCTATGTTCGACTAAAACAACATGTTAAGACTTTATACTGCACGCGAGAAAATGTGGAAATGCTAACTTTTTTTAGCATTTCAAGCAGTGCTTGATCTCTCTACTTTTTACAGATTATGATTGGATTGATTGAATAGGATAATTTTGTATCCTTGAAGAATCTCTACATTTAAAGCATCCTGCATCTCAAACAATCGTAATGGTGTAGAGATAATGTGAAAATACCGATCAAACCCATTTTTAGGAGAACAAATAGGTTTCAAAACACTGCTTCGATTTGTTCTTTGCATAGACAAAACCAAACGACTTCAAATTCTTCATGTGAGCATGGTTCGAATAGACCTATCGTTTGAGATACTAAAATCAGAAATTAAAATTTTTTCTCCGGCATCGGTCGGTGGATCTTCTCCTTAAGCTTACGTTGATGCTTGTTCTACGAGAGACAAACACGCACTTTGCTGATTGACATACAATTCATAATATACAATTTTTCTAGTTTTAAACTAGTGAAGACGCTATATTTACCTAATCAGCATTGTATATCGAAAACTGTTCTCAATAGACAATGTGTATTTCTCAAAAGTTGCGCTCACCCATCTCCCGTCGTAATCAATTTCACGGTTCGTCTTTCTATTTGAACTGTTTGACGACGGTTAGGTAGGTGTTAATCCTCTCGTTACGTCATAATATTGATAGAAAATGGATATTTTTATTGAACAGCAGGATGACGAATAGTCAGACATATTTTCAAATATGATGATGTGTTTCATTGAGTAACTTTTTTAAGTATTCATGGTATCGTAGAAGAGATTGCTTGCAGAAGTTTGAATTCATCTGATACAACACAACTTGATCGTCAAAACTACCATCAACATAATAAATCTTCTTAGGCAGTCTAGTTTGAATAACAAAGCCTATTCTTTGGTAAAGGCCCATAGCATCAATATTTGCGTCATGTGTTACTATTTCCATGAAAAGAATATGGCGGAATAACTTCAAAATTTCATCAAAATAGACTCGTGATAATTTAGTGCTGTAACCTTGATCTACGATAGCAGGATCCATTATCATTGTGATGTTGCTGAGAACGTATGCTTGACGATAAAACTCGCTTGTGTATCCGTTCGAAAAGGCAATTCATTTTTCATTCTTAAACATTAATGGGACCAAGCCGCACAAATTAGTTTGCTGAAGCATGGACTGCACGAAAGATAAGCTGAGCTCGTCAATTTCTTGAGTGAGTTGACCATGATAGACGATTACAACCTTTCTGTACAGATCCAAAATAGCCACGATGTATCGTTCAATGTACCTTGTCGGATCGCTGGTGTAATACTGTAAGATTGCTTCGATGACGACTTTATTGATTTCAATGTATTTGATAGAACGTTAGAACAGTGCGTACACATAATGTTTTCGTTACTTGCAATATCCGAAGATGGCTGATAACCAAAAACATTTCGTGTGAGCATAGGCGGAGATTAAGCATAAACTTGAAAATCTGAAAAAAATAATTGCGACAAGTTACTATGACACTGAGTATGCATCAAAGACACATATTGTGTTTATTGGATTTGACTAGACAATACCTAAGTTTGGGTTTATCTTTCAATTCGAATTAGTTCCTTACCATTTAAACTAAGCGGTCGTTCAAGAATATGATTTTGTATATGGCACCCAATCCGAGGATTTTTCTTTTACTTCTTACATACTTACAAATAAAGACTCATTTTCTTATCGAATATACAAAATCTCTTTGCACAAGCAATCGAATGTGTCAATTGAGTTTCTGGTGACAACTGATTGCCTATAACCCCTCCCCCTGTACTTATGTCTTCTGTCACGCTCACCTCATACAAAGTCAATCTACACCATGTGAAGTCATATTTTGTCTCCTTGAACGAACGCAAAATTATATTCTCTTAGTATCCTGCACAAAATATAGAACCAAATCTATTTGACCGATAAAACGTTGAACTGTTCAACAAACTAAGGATAGTATCGATTTCAACGGAATAGCAAATATAAAGTTGATACTTACGTTCACTTTTTGCTTGTTTAATCGATTGTGCGTACGACAAGAAGGTTTGTTGTTAGAAGTTACTCCAAATAAAGAATCAAATGATCGAATGTTACGTCATCATTCTTCGTGACTAAGTAAAACTTCTTAAGAGTTAGACGAAATTATCGAGAAAGAAATGATATATTTCGACCATTTTAAATCAAATTTCACCCAAAAAGTCGAACGATTATATGCAAGAAGATTTATGTACACATGATTTTTATAAAAACTTATGGGAAGATTTTATAAATGATTAACAGAGATGAATATTTATTGTATGACTTTCTTGTAATCATGCAACGTATTAACATCGAATTGTCTGATTCAGATAATGGATTCGTCTTTTAATATGATGCATCATTTTACAGTCTATCTAAAACATATACATGTTTTACCTCTCATTCTTATATTTACATAGTAAACTACAAGAGTGGTAATGTTACAAATTTTTTATTATTTTTGCTTTGTTTTTTTTTTAGGTCAAGAGAAAGAAAAAGAGGAATTGACATAAATACACATCATTTGTTTCGTCAATTTCAGTATGCCAAAAAAATATAATATTTTACATTGTATTGTTATATATCTGATACACAATCGATTGAAAAAAAAATGCCAAATGAACGACTAGCTAACTATTCAATGTAGTTCTTTGATTTTGATTAATTATTATTTACAAAAAGATATTGAAAAAGATGAACTAAACATTATCGTACAATTGAATCAACAAAAATAGTTTTATTACATAGAATAAAATAATTATGATAATGTATTTCCTTAGATCTTCACTTAATAAAATAGAAAAAAACTTATCATAAAATTTAAACTATTGATTAATTTGTTGTTTAATTATTAAATATTCATTCACAAAATTTACTATAAATGTTACAGTGATGAATCTAAGATTTTTCGGAAAGAGGGAAATTGTGGTCATAAAATGCGCTTTGAAATCCATTAGGGACTGTATTGGCTCATTTCTGTGCGTTTTCTATTGAAAAAAAAAAAAAAACGAAAAGTATTTTGAAAACGAGGGACGATCGGTCATGTGCCCTGCCCTCCCGCCTTTCAATTCGCTAGTGCCATATTAAATCAGATCTTTGACTTGGTTTGATTGTTTCATTAGACTATTATTATTTGTGAAACAATATTTATTATTTTTTTTGTTGTTTTTCAAATAATTGAGTATATCATTGACGTCACGTCATAAAACGCTATGCAAATCAATTACTGTCATATATATATATATATGGCATTAATTTAGTTTTAAATGATGAATAGTTTAACATTGTTCAGTTTATTAATAGAATACATCTATCATATTCATATTTAATTTTAACTCAACAAGATTTTTACCTTGCACTTTGACATCCTACATATACGAACTAGTCATTTTTGTATATATGTGTTCTATTACGTTGTTAAAATAAGATAATATTTATCAACCTACTTGAAATGACGAGGTGGTCTTTTTTTTTTTTTTTTTTGTTAGTCATTACCCTTTGTACAACCGTTTATTCATTTCGTTTCGTTGTTTTTACTTGTTTCTTTTTCATGCATACTGATTTGTGCGTCAATTCAATTTTCAAAAGATGTTTTTCAATAATATATCAATGTATTCAATATTTTTGATTGGTATTATATTAATTATTATTGTTCTTAGTCTTTCTCATACACGTAGTACATTTACAAATCAATTATATATGAAACGAAAAAAACGTTATTCAATAAATAATGATAGAAATAATTTTAAAAATTCATATATGACAATTCAAATGAATCCATTTTCAAATTTAGATGATATTAAACGTATTCGAAATGGAACAACAATATTATTAGAAGATGATGAAGAATTAATGAAATCTGAAATTTCATTAAAATTTTATGAAAATAATGCAATTGAATTACGTTTAGAACAAGATTTTGATTCTGACAACGATACAAATGACAATTAAAAGTCTTTCATAATTCTTTTTTTTGTTTGCGTTTATTTCTTAAATAAAAATGTTTATATTTATATCTATATAAAAATATCAATAATAACATATTAACAATCATTTTATTCATCTTTATCATGTTTATGTTCAAATTCATTCAATGTTTCAATTGGATTTTCTTTCATTTGAATATTTTCAATTGATTGATCAATATTATTTATTATTTCACGTGATCGTATTAATTCTGTTTCATAACGTATTAATTGTAATAAAAAACCTTCGTTTGGCCATATTTGTGGACGTTTTTCAACAAGATAATAAAATGCTTCTTTTAATGTATTATGATGATATTTCATTAAATAAGCAAGAACAATTGTTGCTGAACGAGATACACCTAAAAAGGAAATTTAAATTTAAATTTTACAAATAAATTTCTTTTCGATTTCTTTACCAGCAGCACAATGTACCAAACATCGTTCTTTTTTTTCATAAAATCCATGTAATAATTCATTTGTTCGATCAAAATGCTAAAATATATAAAAATTAATATTTATTTATTTTTTTTTTCATTTAAAAATAAATACTTGTTTTATATTTGTTCGAGGTTCGTCAGGCATTGGAATATGAACAACATTGAAATTATCAAGAATTATTTGTCCTAATCGTAAATCACATACATTTATAATATGCTCTAAAAAAATAAAATTTCATGAACAAAAAATTTAACAAAAAAAAAAGGTCATACTAATATTAAATCGTTCAAGTAAATTTCGATTAGTTGCATGTTGAATATTTCCCAAAAAGAGAAAATCATCAAGTACAATTGATGGTTCAGCAGCTCGACCAAATCGAAAAAATTTATCAAATGCTATACCTCGTTCATGTTCAAGAATTTTCATTCGTTCACGTTCTTCTTCAGTCATATTTAATGAAGTATCTCCTTCGGTTAAATATTTTGTATTAAAAAGTGTTAACATTTTTTTAATTATAAAAAGAATAATTATCAATAGAATCTAAAAATTATTTATATTAGAATTCAATTTTAAAAATTAAGGGAATTATCAGTATTCTTCCAGACTGAAAGGATAGGGGGTCTTCAAAATGGGAATTCATCTGTATCTATCTGTAACATAATTAGCATAAGATAAATATTAGAGATGTAAGCTAGTGTATTGATCAGTATCGGAAATTTTGAATTGAAAAACAAAGAAAACAATAGTAACATCTCCAAAAACTTAACTGGAACGTCGGATTATATTTCAAATGATATCTATGGTACAAATGACTGCCTAGGATAACAAAAAAAAATGACACCTAGGCCTAAAAATTAGCCAATGAGTAGTATCTCAAAACATTAGTATGGACCTTCATATTTCATCATATACAATCGTATTTTAGTGTATTAGATGACTCACTATTACAATTACATTTCTTCGTATCGTATACAGAGAAATATGATCGTTTACGGCGAGATATGCAGTAAAACGGGAGTTGTATACGAACTCCGTAAGCGATCATATTTCACTTTATGTAAAACGAAGAAATACGATTGTAATACTGCGTTATTTAAGATGATTTATGATTGTTTACGATTATGATTTTTTGATATGAGATGCTTTTAGAAGTAATGATTAACTATTAAATGCCTCGATCGATTATGAGAATGTCATTGTAATAATTTTCAAGAGTTGGAAAGTGAGTCTGAACATATGATTATGATTAACTAAAATTAAATTACTTTTGTTTTTTTTTGTACTAGAAATAGTACATTTATAACTAATTGTAATAACTTTTATGCTAATACAAGCGTACAGAATCTGCCGATAAACTAAAAAAAATTTCTCTCAGTATAAAACTCAATTAAAAAACGAATTTTCTTGTTTTAAATTTTTATTTAACGCATTAAGAAAAAAAAGCTACTTTTCAATATCATTTATTACTTGTGCTTTTAGTAAACAATTTAAACTCAATGAACTCGAAGAAAGACATTTTGACCTATCGTGTATTCCGAATTTGGTGAGACTAGGATTATTCGAAAAGAATCGAATTCGAACCACTTTTCAAAAATAAAGTTGAACCGAGCCGAATCCGAACTGAACTGAACTCGAACCAATGAAAAATGATTTGATTCAATCGCTGATGATCATACATTAGTCATTCTAGTGATGTTTTATACATACATACAACAGCAACTGTATATACCAACGGAGAAAAAACGGCAAGTAATGGTATTCCATTAGGAAAACATTAAAAAAAAAAGAGAGGAGAACTCAAATAGTGCGTGTTATTTCATGAGTAGACACAAAGAGACAGGGTGAAAGAAATGGCAAGATGTATGATAAGCGTAAATAAAGGTAAGTGATACTGACATTAAGATAAAGACGCGGATGAATCTTTCAGAAGTTTAATGAAAAGAAAAGAAAAAAAGAGAAGTAGAAGACCTTATCGATGTATACTAGATGACCAAAAGTTAGGAAACACAGTATTTTTTTTTAAATTTCGTCTCTATACATGAATAATAAAATCTCTTATACTAGGTAGTGGTAGTCAGAAGGGTAGCATATCAATCATCTCTGGGCTGAAGAGTTTGTTACAAAGACACACCAGTTTATCTCGTGTACTGCTAGGTGATTGGAATAAGAATTTGATAATCACTTTTCGTCTGACTGTAAAATTTTCTCAGATACTATTAAATTTTCAAAAAATATCCCCCAACGGCCGTTCACGCACAGGGGTAGATTCTGCACGTTTGTGTTAATGTTATATATATAGTAAAACCTCTCTAATCTGAACACCTTCGGGACCAGTAAAAAGCGTTCATAATAGCGAGGTGTTCATTAAGGAGAGATGTTCACATATAGAGGTTTTACTGTACCTCTATCTTGTCAGTATAGGGCCAAAAATCAATCAAGTCTCGATGAACGTTACTTGCTTGTATTGAAGAATAGAAAGTTTCCTGTTGTTTTTTTTTGTTATATATCAAGAACAAGGAACAAATGATGTGATAACGTTTAGGTTAATAACTCATGCCGGTAACAAGACAATCCTTTAGTTTCTCAGCAAATTTTCCATATATCATAACAATCAACGCCAACATGTCATGCGAGGATATAGTAAATTTCGACTTCCAGGAAATTCAAATTTTTTTAGAGCACCATTTAATAAAAGAATACTGCTGCCAGAGTTCAGAATAATGTCGATGATGTATAGTTAAAATTCATCTCTAAACATTTAATTGAACGAATACAACTTCTAGTTTTGAGTTAAATTGGATTAGAAAATTTATTTTATGATGACAAATATATAGAGTGTGGGTGTGCTATTTAAATGTGTATGGATGACGACTAGAGATGTGCAAGACGAGAACTACAATAAAAAAATTGCTTCAACTGAAACTAAAGATTACAGTTAAATATTCTATGGTTTTAAGCGAATGAAGCATTTGCGAATAGTTAATAATCATAAGATGAATTTTCTGATTCAACTCAATCCAAAAAAAATATACACTTCATTTTTATATTAAAATTAATTTTCTCATAATCATTTCATTTGAATTCCCTGGAAATAGAAATTTACCATCTTATATACAATGCAGAACAAAAAAAAAAGACATGCAATTATTTTTTACGATTTGATCCCGATTGAAAATTTTTTGATGCCAATTTTATATTACATTTTTGTTTAATTGTGCTTATTTGATTTAAAACAAAAAATTAAAGATGTACTCTTGAGTAAGAAAAAAAAAACATAGTTTTTATCATTATTTTATGTTAGAAAAATTTGATCGACTTATATTCAATAAATTCTAATTTCGATATACTCAATAAAATAATCTTAAAAAGTCTCCGAAAGCTCATAATGATTCACCGTGTCAGACTGATTGATCTACTTGAATATACATAATAAACTAATTCTGAGATATTCAATACTTTTTAACCGATGACTATTGACGATTACTCATATAGTTTTACCTTCAGTGAACAATAGATGAAAAATCATACTGTACAAACATTGTAGGAAGATGCTCAGTCTCTGACCATGTCTGTGAAAGGGGTGAAGATCCTTCAATAACGCTTCTAGAGGAACTCTCAAGCTCCTTTTTTTTAAACGGAACTCAACCATTTGTAGTGGACGGCTAAATGTCCTCTGGAAAGCTGATCCTCCATCTGGTTACCCCACTAATATTTTAATGTGTGTTGTAAACTTTGAATTCTTTGACTCATTTAGTACTAAAAAAAAAGGAGAAAATTCAATAATTGAAATATAACAAACGAAACAATTTATAACAATAGATTTTTAAGTAAAAGATTGAATGTCACATCGAATAATCAATCGACATTTTTTGCCTATTGCTAGTTACATTGCATTCAAACTCGTAAGTGAAATAATTTATAATGACGAACCGTCAAGGATTTTGTCAACGTTATTTTCTAAGATCTTTATTCGCTTAGTAATGCTCTTTTAGAATCATACTGATAACTCCCTAATATAATTTATATTAAAAAAACTTACCCAGTAAAATCGCAATGTGAATAATCTAAGTAAATCATTGAAGATCATGGCAAGTGATAATGACGTAGAATGTAAATAAATAAAATTCTCCTATATAAATCAATGAATTGCCAAATATTTCATTGGTTAAAAACTTTAACTAATAGAAAGCAAAGTTTCTATCGAAATTTTTCAAAGAGAAATATTTGAAATTTTTTTAGGCAAAACTTTTAAAATATAAAAATTTTATTTCATAATATTAGTTCTTTATTTATTCTTATTTTTCTTTTTCATATATATGAAAAAGAAAAACAACTAGAGGTACACGAAATGGAACAATGGTAACCACTTGACAGAATTTATTAACAGCAAATCAATCAATATCTATTTAGATAAAAAAAAAAAAAGATTTTTTTTTCTTTTCTATCAAATGTTTATCCAAAGTATATTCATTCATAAATAAAAAGATAAATCATGTACGGAAAAAATAAAACTCTCATTGCTCCATCTGATATTCATGCGAAAGA